AGTGCGTACTGGGTGAAGTAAGTTTGGAATGGAGGGCTCAAGTAAGTTTTTACCGCTAACTTTAACTCTCCATTCGGAACTTACTTAGCCTAGTACACACTTCCAGTAGTGCTGGGCGGTTTGGTTCCCGATTGTTGAAAGCTAGGAATCGTAGGAATCGACCCCGAATCCAGTTACTCACTTTGTAACGATGTGATTTCTTCCGGTGGTTACCTAATTGGCTCCGAACATCCTCGGGATTTAGGATAACATTGATTTCGGAACACTAAGAAGTATCAACTTTTATTTTTCAAACATAAATTCAAAAAAAAAAAAAAGAAGATCCTTTGGTTTTCCTAAAAAGGAGTCGGTACTTTTCTTCCCGTGGCATTAATCGTGGGAATCGGTTCCGGAATGGATTTTTTGCCCAGCTCTAATTCCAGGGTTTAAGGTCATTCGGTATTTAGGTGGATGGTCACCGGGGAGTAAGACACGATAACCCAAGCCCAAAATCAGGGTGGGGCACTGGGACAACCAGCAACAGACTGTGGATCGTCTGTTTTTGCTGTTGTGAATGCATACACCATTTATTCGTTTATTGGCGTATTTACATACGCCATTGCAGAAGAAATTTCCCAAGAGGGCCAATAAAGTGGAGATTTCTTTATTTATCTCTACTTATTGTTTTTTCGTAGCTGCATTTGTGTTGCATGCCTTTTTAAAGTTTCCCACTTTTTGGATATCCACGACGTGGCCTCGGTGGCCTAGTGGTTAGGCTACCGGACCCATACTCGTGAGAATGCTGGTTCGGTAGTTCGAGTCTCAGCTCGAATCGGTCCAACATTTTGCCCTTTGGACTAGCACTTAACACGAATTTCCCATGTAGCTCTGTCCTTTCGGAGATGGACGTTTGTTAAACTAGGAGGTCCCGCCTCTTGAATAACCTAATAGTGTTGATAGGGGCGTTAAACCTATACCATTTCACCATTTCATCCAATAGTATTGTTAGGGGTGTTAAACCTATACAGTTTCACCATTTTTTGTTTTGGAATATCCACAGGTGAAGGCGTGAGGGATTTACTGCTCAAGTCTGGATTATCTCTTACAGTTCTCAGTCAGATCTGGTGAGTTACAAGTTCAGCTTGTTGTGGTTTGTCTATCCAATGGCAGCCTTGTCTGTCTATCTGTCTGTCTGTCTGTCTCTCTGTCTGTCTGTGTATCTGTCTGCCTGTCTGTTTCTTTGCCTGTCTGTCAAGAGAAAGAGACAGGGCGAGAGAGAGAGAGAGAGAAAGAGAGAGAGAGAGAGAGAGAGAGAGAGAAAGGGAGAGGGAGAGAGAGAGAAAGCAAGAGAGGGAAAGAGAGAGTCTGCGCGTGTGCGAGT